TTGACTGATTATGGTTGACCGCTGCTCACCAGACTTGATAGCCACGTTTTTGTCCGTACTTCCTACGACTCAGTTGAACTTGCCGAAGTTGGACCGCGCATGACCATGCGGCCATTCGAGATTCGCGCCGGAACTCTCGAAAACAAGGAGGGAGACGTGGAATGGCACCTCTCGCAGTACACTCGCACTGGAAGGAAGAAGGAGTACTTGTGAGACAGTGTTGTCGACTGAGAAACGAGGACAGAGCTGGATCAGGAGCCGGCTGTGAATTCAACAGCAGTTCACTCCTTAGGGTATTCAGACTAAGTGCAGAACTGCAAAACCTTTGGGCTAATCTTGAAATTTGGGCGTTGAAGGCATCAAAAAGGCTGCATGAGGTAGACATCATATTATCACGGCTAGAGCCGGAATCAACGATACTGAGAACCAAGCAACTACATGTCTTATTCAGAGGCCAATTACAAGCTAATCTTTTAAATCTGGATTCCGACAAAGCATATTCATCGTCACTCCAGATGTGTGAGGAAACTCCTTTCATGACGCCAAAGTCAGACTGGTTGGATTGTGTTACCCCCATCGAGGCGACAGGAACGGGTCCAGCCAGCGACGTCCTTGCTACAGCCATCACGAGCCAATGAGGGGCAACTCAAGCCGTCATCCGGCGGTCTCGCTGCCGAGCTCTCCATCGGAAAGGTTTAAGCATGGGATAAACGAACCGGCCCCTGTCGGGCTGGGTTGATAGCGAATCATTTTCTCAGGGGCCCCCGCCACTACATACGCGCAACACGGATACGGAGCGTAAAGCGGGCTTTTTGAAATCGCCGTTGCCTGTCAGTCAGGCTGCGCACACCGCAAACACGCGGTTGATGGTGGGAGGCAATGTGGGTAAAAAAGGACGAACCGCGGGAAGGGAGGGTGGCTTAGAACTCTTGGGATGGGCAAAAACGGCGGCTCGCACAGCCACTAGCTCAAAGGTGGTGACGCCTCCAGGAACCTGCGGTCGAGCCGGGACGGTCAGCAGCGAAAGTACCGAAGGCTGCGGATCTCAACAGTCTCTGCAACGGCTGCAGGTGAAGAGAGTCGGCGATTTGGTTCGTCGATTGACATGAGCTGCAATTGACCGGCAGCATTATTCGACCTTTCACGTCAGACCAGTCAGCTATTTTTGGGGACGACTAGATGGTGTCGCCGCCGCTCAGCCCATTTCGATTGCAGTTGCCGTTCCCACCCAATCGTCACCTCATTCATTCATGGGCTGGACATTGGACAAGCTGGGTGGCAGGTCGGTCCCATGTGTGCTAGAAGAGCCAAGACTGCGGGAAGACACAGGGAGGGGCAACAACAGCAGCCCAGCCTCCTGTTCTGCCTGCCGTTGACCCTTTCTGCACACCACCGCCGGATGGACGGTCTGGGTGCGTGTGAGACACTGAAGGACGTACAACCCAGGCACAGGTACCGTCCATAGAGTCCTGCTCAGTCCCTACCTTAGGTAGGTATCTACATTCCCTGGGCTGTAGGACGGGCAGCGAAACCCGTGGACGCCTTCGCAGAAAACATGCCCGCGTCCCGTGTACAATGATAAGCTTCGCCCCGCCCGCTGGCCGCAACATGCTCTGATGTCACTGACCTTGCGCTGCTCCAGCTTGTCTTCCGGACCCGACGAAACCTCTTTTTGCTTAGGTTGTCAGCATCGAGAATCGCTCACGGTTCCCGTTCCAGGCTTGTCGTATAACCTCAAAAGTACCATCCATCCCAAAACCACAAGAGGGGCTGCGACTGTTTATTTGTTTCTAGCGCCCGTCAGGCTCCTCTGCGAAGAAGAAAAAAAGACTTGAAAAAAACAGGACCCCGGAAATCTGATCGGCCAATCCTGCCCACTTGCGCCCCATCCCACCCAACCACAGACACTGCCCGGGGTATCCGCTCTGACAGGTCCCGGCTCCTGATTGGGTCCGCCCACACTGTCATTTCAGTGCCTTTCCAGCACTTCCCAGTTCCTGTCAGCGGCCGGAGGTCCAACCTGGACGTCATTTAACGACTGGACATCAGCCGAAATATCCTCAGCGCTTGGTACTCAGTGCTCACACCTGCTACCACCCGATCCATCTCACGAGAGCAACGCCGGACATTCTCACTCCGCCAATTCTCTCCGGCTTCACGCGATCAACCTCCTCTCCAACGCTCTGTCTGTAATCGCGTCGACAGCAGCACATCCGTCAATATGTCGTACGGACAGTATAACAACAACCCTTACGCTCAGGGCCCCGACCAGGAAGGCGGCTACGGTTACGCCAACAACAACAATAACAACCAGGTCCGTCACCAATCCATTCAATCGCTTCCTCCCACGTCGCGGAGTCTCGTCGCATCGCATCGCAGCTAACAATCGCAAGCAGTATGGCCAAGGTCAATATGAGATGCAGCCTTACGGCCAAGAGCCGGCCCAGTACGCCAACCAGCCGCCGCCGCCTACCACTTTGACCCAGCAAGAGTTCCTCCAGCGCGTGCAATATCTGCGCTCCGAGATCCAGGGCCTCACATCCGACATTGAAGGCATTGCTGCGCTGCACCAGCGTTCCCTCGCTTCCACCGACTCCAACGCCAGCTACCAGCTTGAGCAGGCCGTCTCCGCGACGCAGCTCCGCAACACCGCGGTCAAGGACGGCATCAAGGCCCTCGAGAAGGACCTCGCAAAGACCCAAGACGGCTCCCGCGCCACCAAGAGCGCCCAGCTCAACTCGCTCCGCAACACGTTCAAGGGCGAGCTCGAAAAGTACCAGCAGATTGAGAGCGACTACCAGAGGCGCTACCGCGACCAGATCGCCCGCCAGTACCGCATCGTCAACCCGGAAGCGACGGAAGACGAGGTCAAGCAGGCGACGGAACTCGATTGGGGTAATGAGGGTGTTTTCCAAACAGCTGTAAGTTTTCAAAGCTTTCTATCGCCAATTTGACCCGAAGCACGGATATTGACGTTGTTGCCTACAGCTCAAGTCAAACCGGACAGGCCAGGCCAACTCGGTGCTGGGTAATGTCAGAGCCCGCCACAACGAATTGCAGCGCATTGAAAAGACTCTCGTTGAGCTCGCTACGTTGTACCAGGAGATGGCCACTCTTGTCGAGGCACAAGAACCCGTCGTCGACGCCGCCGAGCAGAACGCCCAGCAGACCGTCGACAACATCGCCAAGGGTAATGAGGAGGTCGCCGTCGCCAACAAGCACGCCCGCAACCGCAGAAAGCTCAAGTGGTGGTGCCTTCTCGTCGTTGTCATCATCATTGCTCTCGCCGTCGGCCTGGGCGTTGGTCTCTACTGCACGAACAATAAGTGCGGCAGCAAGTAAATCACGACTGCAAACTACGAGCGAGCACGGTGTACGACACAGAAGTAGGAGAATGCTTTGACGGGGCAGGCATGGCGATGAGCCCCCATGACGAAGGCAAAGGACAGCACTTTAAAAAGAGAGGGCACGACGACTGTTTTAGATTTCATGACCATGGCTCGAACGGAGGAGAGGTTTTAATCAGGGCAGGGCACTGGTGTTGTATCCCGCCGCATCCGACCGACTCCCCCTCCAACGAGGCCACGAACTTTTATTTAAACCGCCGAGCATTTGACACCCACGGCGGGCTCCTGATTCCCCAAACCACCAGGTTTTATACTCATTGTACGCATACCCTTCATACGACCACAAACGGGAGATTGGGGGAGGTCCGGAGTCTTCTTATTTCCTCTTTCTTTTTTTTTTTTGTATGTATTGAACGTCTCTTGCCTCCTCACCCTCCTCCTGCCACCCATTGGATCATGAGAACGTGGGATAGTGGCAATCGGGGCGCGGGGGGGCAACGGCACATTTTTCTCCTTATACGTATCGCACAAACAGTGGCGAGGGTTTAACGACTTGAATGGCCTCCCATGTTCCTCCGGTGACACCACACCAAATACCGCTGTGTTACTGAATGAAATTTTGCTCGTGAAAACGCCCTCATCTGCCCGGCAACCGAAGCAGACCGGCATGCCACGCGGGAACCTGGTCGGGCCAACCACCCCCGGCCCAGCAAATGTCTCGGTGCCCTGGGCCTGGGATGGGTGCTGTTATTGTTAGCTACGTGCTCTCATCTCCCCCGTCCCGCACCGCCGCCCGCTGGCCCGCATCCCACGCGCGGGCTCGATATCCCGCCGCAGCCCTACGGCACAGCGGGGGCGGCACGATTCAAGTTGACGGAAATCGCAGATCATTCCAACACCTCCGATAAGGAGTTCCGCTGGTTTCGTGGTGTAGTTGGTTATCACGTCAGTCTAACACACTGAAGGTCTCCGGTTCAAGTCCGGGCGAAATCATTCTTTTGCCATCGTTTTTGATTGTATTGGCGATTTCTGCCCAAGAACATTTTTGCTATCGGCAAATTGGGCAGCTAGATAACACCAGCCAGCCAGTGAAGTAGTCTCCGCTATCAACACCGATGCCTTCCTCGCCTCCAGCAACTGTCCTCAAAAGACATCCCGAAAGTCACTCAAAAGCTCCGTCGAGACCGCTGTCCCATCGCTCGTAGCTAAACTGGTCCGAGATTGACAAATATGGATACAGATGACAATGGACTAGTTCTACAATGCTCTCACCAAATGTACGCAAAGTGAGGGAAGTCGGATTATGTACAAACGTGTTAAAGGGTTCGACCCATGCCTCCCAAGCCGTGTGCGTTAAGCCCTGGTTTCACCGCCGCCAAAACCCGAAGCTCCCCGCCGCCGGCCAACAAAAAAAGACATGAACATAACAGCAAACGGGCTTTTTTTGGTTCTTAACATCGTCCCGTCCTGATATTTTGATTCGTCCCCCATTACTCGCCCCGGAACCCATTTCCCGAGGCTGTTACCTGCTCCCCCATTTTTTCCGTCACAGGAGCTTAAACTACTACTCTTCTTCTTCTTACACGGCGCCAGTTGGTGAGTTGTGTGGGTGTGGTTACTTCAATTCAGTCGGAAAAGTGTAAATCCTCTCCTTTACCTGGGCATACCCGGGCTGATACCCTGCAACTTCGCTGCCAGCTTGGGGTACTTCTCTTGCACTTGGAGCTGCGTGCGTGTCGCTTCGGCGTACGACAGAGCGTTGACGATCTCTCCTTCCGTGCGGGCGAGCTCGGCAGCGCGCTCGAAGTACTTGAGAGCCTCGGTGACCTTGCCCTGCTGAAGGAGCAGCTGGGCCATGGTTGCAACGGCGATGTCGCACTCGGGGTCGACTGTATATGATTAGTCTTGCGTTTTGAAAATAAAGACGGGGTGTGCATACTGATGAGAGCCTTCTGGCAAAGCTTCTCGGCTTCGCCAAAGTCCTGCTTCCACTGGAAGAGGGTCAGGGCCTTGTTGATAAGGGGAAGAACGTTCATAGCCATCGGCTTCGTCTTCGACTCCATGTCAATCGCGGCGTCGAACTTCTCGATAGCCTCCTGGAAGTTGCCCTGGTCGAGGAGCAGCTCTCCGTAGTAGTTGTAGACGTCGGGAACGTCCTTGAAGTTCTTGATGCAGCGGCGGAAGGTCGACATGGACGAGGCGATGGAGCCCATCTTGTACTGAGTGACACCGAGCTGGATGTGAGAGAAGATGAAGTCGCGGTCGAGGTCGATGGACTTCTGGTAGTCCTTGGCGGCGTCGGAGAACTCGCCCTTGATGAAGTGCAGCTGGGCACGGTGGTAGTAGATGTCGGGATCCTCGGCGTTCTGCTCCATGGCCTTGTCGAAGTCGTCGGCAGCCTTCTCGGGGGCACCAAGCTCCAGGTTCATGCTAGCACGCTTGATGTAGCTCTGGGTCATGGAGGGGTCGAGCTCAATGCTCTTGGACAGGTCGCTCATGGCGTCGTCATGCTTTCCGAGCAAGCAGCTGAAAGTACCGCGGAGGTTGTATGCGAGAGCCTCGAACTCCTCGAGCTCACCCAGTTCCAGGGCCTTCTCGAAGGCCGCCCTCGCCTCCTCGTAGCCGTCACCAGTCTTCTTCTCCAAAGCCGCAAGGCCGAGCTGCAGCTGACCCTTGCCAGTCTCCTCGTCCAGCGCAATAGAGTCCTCGAGACCGGCCGGGCGGGGCTTGACGCGGAAGCTCTGCAGGTAGTTACCGACGAAAGTGTGGCTGGGCAGCTTGTTGGGGCGGTTGGCCATCATCTCCTGGGCCTTCTGCTCGGCAAACTTCTTCAGCAGGCGCTCGACGGCCTGTGCGCTGTTCTCGTTCTTGAAGCTGTCGATAATGCAGGAGGCGGTGAAATCGAGGAGAGCCTCGCCGTACATCTTGAGGTGCTCGTAGGCGTTGGCACGGCGGTTCAGGGCCTTGACGTATTCGGGGTCGAGGTTGATGGCGGCGGTGGTGTCCTCGACAACCTTGTCCCAGTCGCCGAGGGCATTGTAGCAAGCGGCACGGTTCGAGTAGAAGATGGGGTTGGCCTTGCAGAGGATGGCCTTGGAGTAGAGTTCGATGGCTTGGTTGTAGTCCTTACCGCCATAGGATTTGTTACCGGCGTCCTTCAACTTGGCGGCGTACTTCTCTCGCTCTTCTTGGGTGAAGCTCTGGACGGACGTCTCGTCGATCTCGGGAAGCTCTTCGGGGTTCTCGGCGGCGGCCGTCGGTTGCGCAGCAGCCTCCTTCTGTGCGGGCGCGGCCTTCTCTGCCTCGGCGGCCTTGCGTTCGGCCTCCCTTCTTTTCCTTCGCTCCTTCTTGCTCAGCTTTGGTGTATCATCCTTCTTCTTGAATCGCACTAAGGTCAGCTTTTGATTCCGTGCAGTTTGACCTGGCAGGGCTGGCGGAGATGGCCAAGATCCCAGTCGTAGCGGCCGTGTGGAAAATCGGATCGCATGACGACAGCCAGGTGCCAGAAGCAGGCAAGACACAAGAGTAAAAACGTACGGAGTCGCTGTTGAGGAAGTAGATGACGCCAGCACCGGTAGCGACGACGGCAACACCTGCAGCGGTATAAACGACGGCCTTGTTTTCTGAAGCCCAAGAGGTGATGCGGTCCCAAAGTCCGGAGGAGGAATCAACCGGGATAACGGTCGGAGTCTTTGCCAGAGGAGGCACGGAGGGGAGGGGATTGGACATATTTGTGGTGGCTCGAGGCAATTGATAAAAAGAGGAGCAGAGGTATCAAGGGTGGTACAGGAAGAAAAGTCGTAAAGTCGACAAGGACTTGAAGTGTGTGAATGGGCTGACCAGTGCGAGGGCGGTCTGGTTCGATGATGTAGGCAGGTTGCAGGTGCAGGTGCAATTGCAGGAGCTGGCTGCTGTGATGCTGATGCTGCTTGCTGGCCGTCTGGTGGTGGTGGTGGTGGTGGTGGTGGTGGTCTCTGTCTGGTCTGTTTGCTATGCGCTGGACTGGGGCCCAGGAGCTTCCGGCACAGCGCGCAAAAAATTGTTGCGCGACGGGGCAAGCTCGTGAGGAGTTTTTCCGGCCTAGCACCACAGTCTTCTGGGTCGAGCAACTGTCATTGACCAAATCAGCTTGGCCTCAGGCGATTTAAGAGTGGGGTTGGCAAGGGAGGGCCGCCTATGAGCCTGCAAACTACGTAACCAGTGAGGGCCCTGGCGCTCCAGGTCGCAAGGATATGTTGGTCAGCCAGCAGGGTGCCTTTCGCTTTCGTGGTCTGGGCTGCCGATTTTTGTTGTTTATTATCTTCATTAATAAGCTGTCGCCTTTTGCTGAAGCTTGCGAAATGTTCATGTGCACCCGTATTACGCCCTCAAATCGAATCAATTGAAGACTTGTATCTCGTTGGGCATTTACACAGTAGGAACGATCTCCCAGACAAATGCGAGAGCTTCAATCGCCAGGGATCTGGCTGGAGTACCATGTCGTCATATTCTCCTATATCCTCATTTTGGGTTTCACTAGCCTGGCGTCCTTCAGAAAAGCATTCGATGCAAGTCTTCATTGCTAGAAACTCTCTAAACAATGCTTCTGTGTTCCTCAAAAACTTGTGGTATGTACAAATCTTTTGAAGATGGATTTGGCTACGCGTCGTGCAAATTACACGAGTAAGAGACTCGCAACTACATACGGCTAGTTGGATATGACTTCTTTCCTCAGCGACGATCAGCCAGCTCGGCATGACCTAGCGCCAAGAGACATGAAGAGGTCGTTTCCAGCTTGAGAGCCTCAACAATGTTCTACTTGTTTTGACGCGGAATGGCCTTCGGTATGTTTCATTGATGAGTGTGATGTCTATAGACATTGTCTCTGCAGAGATGCTTACTTCTGCTGGAGAACATGTGGCCGTCCAGAATGAAAACGGCTGAAAATAAGGTACTCGTTATGTGGCAGAGCCCTGACATCCAGCGCGTATTCCTTGAAGAGCGTTTCCAGAAGAACCTTAACATTAGTCCTCGCTCCAGTCCGTGTATCAGCGGCCTCCGAATTACTGTGCTAATCAAAGCGATTTTTTGAAAGATTTCATGTTGATCATCACATCAAACTAGGAGACTCTCCAGACCGTTAGGTTCCGCACTTTGTTCATATACATGGGACTAGAGGCATTCGGTGATAAGGATGTTAGTAGCTGGGCTGATGAAATTTGAAGTCTCGGGTGGCCAAGATAAGAGTTGAACTTGATAATCTATCTCAAGCTGCTAACGGAAAATATACATTAAACATATGTCTTGAACCATGAAGTTGTGTTCATCCCCATGAGTATCAACAAATTGATTAGATGGGTAGTTGAAAGTGACCAGTGGAGACGGAAGGCAGTGAGAAAGTGTGCTTATGTAACCTACACTGCAACTCACAAAATTGTTAGTGCGGTCTCATGAGCGACTTCCGTGCTGCAAGCGAAGACTCAGAGTGCTTCTGGCTGACCTTGACCACCGTCGCCGTCTAAAGTCAAAGCCCGGTCACAGCACTTGTTGCATCGGCAAACTTACCTACATCAATAAGAGTGGCTCTTTCACTTCTGCGTCTCTCTTTCAAATCTGCCTTCTCGTCAAGATCGCAGATCTGACAATCATCGACCATCCTACATCGCACCGTACACCTTGAGTCAACAGCTTACAGACAGTCGCAAATATGGCCAATCAATTTGAGCTCTTCACGTCGCTCCGTTTCGACCCCGGATTGCTGGGCGTCCCAAAGAGGCGTTTGGCTAATGCGGGGTGGAACGCCAAGATGACCTCTCCGTACTACATGCTCGACCTCCACCGGGATCGGATGCTTAGAGCCGCAACACATTGGAACTGGACTCCTGCCGTTGAGGCTATCGCTGGCGAGACCGGGCTGCAGAATCTCGCAGACGCCGTCGAGACCTTCTTGGCTCAGCATGGCAAGGAAACCCCACTGAGAGTCAAGGTCCTGCTTACCTCGGACGGGAAGCTTAGCTGTGAAGCATCACCAGTGCCCCCGGTGCCGTTGCAAAACCTCTTTCCCGAGAGACTCCCACCACCTGGAAGCTCGAAGGAGACCAGCGATCCTTCTGAGGAACCCCTCATGGAGGTTGTTGTAGATAACACCGAGACATCGCAATCGGAGTACACCCACTTCAAGACTACCAAGAGGGCCATGTACGACACTGCTCGGGATCGTGCGAGCATTGCGCCGACGGACCGAAAGGAAGTCCTGCTGGTCAACTCCAGAGATGGCACGATCATGGAGGGCAGCTTGACTACTCCCTGGTTTTGGAGGAACGGTAGGTGGGTGACACCTCCGGTATCTGCCAAATTCAATCCCGATAGCGGGAGCGGTGGTCAAGATGGAACCACTCGCAGATGGGCTCTTGAAAGGTGAATATCCTGACATATCACGTCATTCGCGCCTGCCTGCTGACTACGTGCTCAGGAACCTGGGTGCTGAAGAAGAGGTCAAGGCCGGCAGTCTTGTCGACGGTGAGTGTTGCTGGATCAGCAATGGTGTTCGCGGCTTCACTTTTGGCAAGGTACTGCTCAGTGCCGCATAACAAGATTGCGTTATAAGCTCTTGTCGATTTATTAGTCCAGGAGGCGCATGATCTCATGATATGATCAGAGCAGCCTACTATGGGCGGTTCATCGAACCAATCATGGGAACTTCTGCCTTGATAGCAACCACTGCCATGTTGAATCGTCATCTTCTGATTCGAGATGAACGCCCTATCTTTGGGGCACATGTGTATTGCCGAGATGTTATATCCGGATGGAACATCGAGCATGGATCCAGAAAAAGAACCCTGACGACATCACAATGCCAAGTTCAGGTCCAGCGATTGCAGAACAATCAGGAGGCCTCGTCTCCTTGCATCGTGCTTGGCAGGGTATCCAGGAATCTGGAGTCGATCGGCGCCAAGACGGGACATGGCCCGCTAAGCTAATCCCTGCCCCGGAACCACCGTGCGGCGTCCGTTACATCATTCTGTAGGCGGGGAAGACCTCATCTCCCGGCCGATTTGTTCATCAGACCAAGCTGGTCGTCAAGCAGTAACAGTTTTGGCTCACGAGCCGTCTCTGATTTGCATGTGCCAATCCCCTTCTGAATCACGGCAGCTGAATTGACCGGCGCGTATTCAGGTAGGCTGCTTGAAAGTTCAGGTGGCCGAAGCTCCCGCGGGGCATCTCCAAAGTAGAGCGACTGTGACAAGTCCAAATCGCTCATGTGTTTCCATAACGTTTCCCCCTCTTTCTCGTTCATTTTGAACCACTTGTTCATCGACGACTCAGTCCAGTCTCCACCGGGCCATTTTGTACCCTAACCAACTGCCTCATCGGGCTGGACCGAGGGCCAGACTTCCTCCCTTTCCCCCCCCTATCCCCATGGGAGCTCAGAGCACGGGCGAAAGGTCCGAATGCGCGTTGTCACGAAAGCTCCGTTTCAAGCCTGCGGTTGCACCGCCCCACCTCCCGTGCCTTGCTCTGAACTGTCACACTTCAATGCCGGCATGAGCTCTCTCTCTCATGACAGAATATACCCAACCTGTCACTTCAGCTGAGCTGTCGTCAGCGAAACGTTAGCCCTGCCGTTTTATAAGTCCCGGACAGGCCGCCGCATGATTGCTGCGCCAACATCCCTTGGTGATATTTATCTTCCTTATCTACCGACAGATCACATCTAGAGCAAAGCAGGTTTTCCACCTACGCGCCCGTAACCCCCTCTCACGACTCACTTCAGCCCGACCAGGTTCTGAAGGTGCCGACATTCCGATCAGTGATCGCGGTACTTGCTTCTTACCCAAACGGGCAGGTATTTAAACGCCAGCTCAACCCAAAGAGCGAGCTTGTTTCGCAAACAACCTTCAAACTCAACTCAATTCATCCTACTGTCCACCGACTCAACTAGTGCAACCACCTCCTTCCTTGACCACAGCTCCATACATAAACACGATGGAGGCATTCCTGCAAACCCAGGCAAAGTTCAAGCTGGACAAGGGCCTCGCCAAGATTCCCGCCGCCTTGAACAAGAACTACCAGCGCCATGGCACCAAGTCGTACGTTCACTTGCTCAACAAATACAAGTTCGAGCCCACCAAAGCCGGCCCCTATGTCCAGACCAAGAGGATGGCGCAAAGGGGTCTTGCTGCCCCGGGCTTCAATGCCCCTCTCGGCGGCCGCGTCTCCATGAAGAACGTTTTGGTGAAGAAGACCGACTCTGGGGAACAGAGCGGGGAGGTCACGGCGGAGGACCAGCAGTACGACTCCATGTACCTCTGCGAGGTATTCATCGGCACGCCGCCGCAGAAGTTCAAGCTGGACTTCGACACCGGCTCCTCTGACCTTTGGGTATCCTTCCCGAATACACACTGCCGCCATAGCAATCACTAACACAGCCGATAGGTCTTCTCGACTGAGCTCAGCAGCTCCCTCCAATCCAACCACAACATCTTCGACGCCTCCAAGTCCTCCACGTTCAAGAAGCTCGACGACCTCTCGTGGAAGATCTCGTACGGCGACGGCAGCTCCGCCTCGGGCGACTGCGGCACCGACAACCTCGTCCTCGGCGGGCTGACGGTCGAGAACCAGGTCGTCGAGCTCGCGCAGCAGCTCGCGCCGCAGTTCTCCCAGGGCACCGGCGACGGCCTGCTCGGGCTGGCCTTCAGCTCCATCAACACGGTGCAGCGCGACGGCAACATCCGCGACCCGCAGAAGAC